CAGTAGCTGAAGGGTCTTTTGAGGACATCATATTGCAGCTTTTTATGTTTTAGTATTAGTTGGTTATGGCCAACTGTGGGAGGATTGGGGGCTTCTTAGCCAGATTGTGGTTCAAGGGTTTGCTGTTTGTGATGTGCTCATCTAAACAAAAAAAAGGGGGGGGGATTAAACTTACCAATGTATACAACAAGCTTCTTTAAAAAGTTGTCTCTATAATTATCTGTGTAGACGTGAGGAAGAGTACTGTGTATATTTTTTTTTATGTATTTATTTATATATCAAATTTGTCATCCTATCCTCACTAGGATATTAGCATAGCCACAAGACCCTGTTACATCCTGTTTTATTTTTCCTCCACTTTGCATGCCTAAAAGTTATTTTCATTATTATATGTGAGAGGTCATATAATGTTCTGCCCCTTCTTCTGTTAGGATGTAGGTCTTCTATGCTGCTTACATGGTACTTTTGGCCAAGCCAGTTCCCTATTTATAAACATTGTAAAACACCTGTAAGTATTTCAAGCAACCTTGAAATATTTAAGACCAAGCTTTTCCATGAAGCATGTCCCTCCTGAAATCTAATTTGCCACAACATTTTTCTTAGCTATCATGTTTCACTCAATGCTGAGATTGAATGCCTTTCAACCCCTACTGCTCAGATCATGGAAACAATTTTAGCTACCACGTGGAAGATATCCCACATGGAAGATGTCATCATATCAGTGAAGGTGTTCACCACACTGTTGGGTTAATTTCTCCATACAGATATGGCCCTTTCTTTCATATGCTTGCTCCAACAATTTCTTAAGAGTAGAATTTTCCTATATCCCCACTGCTGAAGAAATCTAATGAAACAAATTCCTTCTTAATCTCTTTCCTTGGGATTTAATGGACATGAAGAAAGGAGTATATAATGAAAGACAGGCCATTCAAACACACCCTTAACTACCCGATAACAAATTATGTACAAGAACATCACAATCCACCATAAGAATTTCTTCTTTGATAGAATTTCTGAAGCAAATTCCCTTTCATCAAATTGAATGATAATTTGTAAGGGAAAGGTGGAGTTGAATTTATCTGCAGAATACTACTTGGCAGAAACATGAAGACTCCAATTGCATGGAAATATGTTCCATGTGAAAGCCTAACTTGTAATAGCTGGCATCAAAGTGATTTATGGTGGACAGATCTTTATAGGAATTATAACTTGGCTTTAATCAAGGCACATCTGAATGGCATTGGGGAGGTGATCAATTTAAGCAGAACAGCCAATCCTAACACATTACACACAGTACAGCTATCTGTATGAGCCCTCCATCTGTCTCTGTAGCTGTTTTTGAAAGTTGATTTACAACTTCTTAAATAAATAAACTGGAAACTGATGTGAAAATTGTAGCTTTAGAATCAAAACATTCTGAGTGTTGAGTGTTTTGAACACTAGATCTGTGCACAGAGAAAAAAAATCCTTTCAAATCAAAATCCACTCCTGCTTCCCCAAGAGGGGAAGGGTTATTTTATTACTTTTCAAAAAACCAAGCCTTGGAAATCTCTACTGTTTTGTTACTCAGAGATCTACCAATAGATCCTGATCAATATTTTTCCGCTCTTCTTGCATCTGCAGAATGTTGCCCAGCGACCCTGTTTAAGATCACCCGATCCCTCTTGGGAAAGGAGGGCCCAGTTACTGATTTACAGGGCCATACAGAGGAGTTTTCTAGGCTTCTGGAGGATAAAATCACTCAGATCTAGTCCCAGTTGGATACCAAGCATGGGGTAGAGATGCCCCAGAGTATGGACTTACCCTGTTATCTAGGAACAGTTTGATCCTGTTGAACCTGAGGAAGCGGACAGGGTCCTCCAGATGATCAATGCCACCACTTGTCAACTAGATCCATGCCCCTCCTGGCTGATTAAGGCTACTCAGGAGGTGATATATGGGTGGGTCCAGATGATGGTGAATTCATTTTTGAGGGAGGGAACGTTCCCAGTTGCCTTTAAAGAGACACTGATGCATCCCATCCCCAAGAAACTGAATCCCACTGTATTGGACAATTTTTGTCCAGTCTCCCACTTCCCTTTTTTAGGGAAGGTGGTTGAGAAGGTGGTGGTATGGCAGCTCCAGAGGATCCTGGAGGAAACAAATTATCTGGAGCCTTTTCAGTCGGGTTTCAGGGCCAGATATGGAATGGAAATGGCATTGGTTGCGCTTTTGGATGATCTCTGGCAGGAGCGGGATGGGAGTAGTGCATCCATCCTTGCTCTCCTTGACCTCTCAGCAGCTTTCAATACCATGGACCATGGTATCCTTTTGGATTGACTTGGGGAGTTGGGAATGGGTGGCAGAGTTTTGCACTGGTTCTCTTCCTTCCTCCAAGGTCGATCCCAATCAGTGTTGATTGGAAGCGAGAGATCCAGCCCACGGCCCCTCCTTTGTGGGGTGCCACAGGGTTCGGTCCTCTCTCCACTCCTTTTTAACATCTACATGAAACCACTGGGTGAGATCATCTGCCACCTTGGGATGAGGTATCATCAATATGCAGATGAT